ACATATATACCAGAGAGCGCCTAGTCATCGTCATCTTCACAGATAGTGTATGTTTATTCACATATACTTACATGCAGAGTGGGTTTATTCACACGTATCATTACGTATAGTGTATCTTTAATTATTTGCTTGCTTATTTCAGGAGGTGTCTAGTGACGAAACCCAGGGCACTCTACAGCCGAGTAGCTCGTGGCCCACCATCAGTCACCACGCAATCGACGGCGTGTATGATCGCGTAACCATGGCAACCACTGTTCAATCGCTGTTGCCGGACGATGATGAAGCCATCGGCATGCGCGTCAGTAGGGGAGAGCACATGTCACCGCATGCACCCCGCACCACTGATACTCACAGGTGTGTGGATAGGTGTTCTTATGTTCTTACATGACTACTGTGTGTTGGCTACTTATTAGTTTACTAGCTTATATATGCCGCCAACAAAATAGTGTCTCCATTCATATTCAATGGAGACAATCGCACGTCCACCCGAACACCCAGCGCCAGTGATACCTGTAGGTATATTCACGCGCATGTCGTTTTGCTTGACCTTCGCGTGTGCTTTCGTATTTTTGTGCACCACTTCACGCCTTGGGATCTTGTACTAAGAGTAGTTCTATTGATTGCACTTGCGTAGAGAAGAACACATGTCTCCTCATCTCACTACGGAAATTGGTACCTATATATGTGTAGTGATATTTACATACATTCATACATACATGCACACAGACATAAACACGCACTTTCATGTATCTACCAGCACACACACTCGTTCGGCAAAACATTACCATCTGATACACAGCGATGCCCTCAAGGACACACCTGAAGTGGCTGCCACGTCTCAGAGTACCGCAGGACAAAGCGAGTCTGAAATTGGAGGACAGTTCGGTATCAAACTGCGCGTGTGGACACCAGGGCCAGCGGCGGAGAGTGCGTTGTTGGCGCAGATAGCGGCCAGGACAAACCAGGCCATAGTGGAGTATCTGATGGAGAAGACATGCGAGAGTGTGCCTGTGGTTCTTGATGAGGCGTGCGAGGCGGTAGAGGTGTGTTATTTGCTGTGATGACATATAAATA